CTCCGGCCTCCCAGAAGTCCCGGCCCGTAACCTCGGCCTCGCTCCCACCCGGGCCTGTCTCTGCATCCCTGGCAGCAAGATGGATGTTAGCTCCCACCCAGTAGCCCCGCTACGGAGGAGAGGGTTTACTGCCCAGACTTTGACCAAAACAATCTCCAGCCCAACTGCTGGACCTCTCAAGGGGTGTTTGTTCCAAAGGCTCCCTCACAATGGAGAGGTTCGTCAGGCAGCCCTAAGGCATCGTTCTTGGGCCCAGACTTTGAGAAACCCCATTCAGCCCCGGGGTCCCCGCCTTTCCGGTGCTCAGCTCCACCGCTTTGGACAAGATGCTTCCCCTGCCATTTTGGATGCTAGAGGGCAAGCATCTGAACAGGAACTCATGGCCTTGCGTTTAACCCCATACCGGCTCCTTGGTGCCCTGGATTCCCCACTTCAGAACCCTGGCACTGTCTTTGATTCTTCCTCTGTCCTCACTCACACATCAAAACCCTGCCATGTCTAAAATACTTATCGTGCCGGGCATGGTGGCCCACGCCTGTAATCCCAGCACTTGGGAGGCTGAGGCAGGAGGATCCCTGTAAGTTCGAGACCAGCCTGGGCTACGTAGTGAGTTCCAGGTCAGTCTCAACTACATACTGAGACCCTGTCTCAAAAAAAAAAAACAAAACAAAAAACCAAAAAACTTCTCATGTCTAAAATACATCTCACGTCTGTCCTCTCTGTGTCCATAACCCCTCTCAGGACCACAGTTCTGCCATCTCTCACCTAGAAGGCTGCAACGGCCTCTTGTTGGGTCTCTCTGCAGGCAATGGTCATTTAAATGCAAACCTGATCTGGTCATTCTTAAACCTCCTCAGGGTCTTCCCAGGGTGTTCAGGCCACCATCCATCAGGTGGACCAGCTGGCCCACCCCCTCTCAGACCCAAGTCTGGCTTGCTCTGCAAGCTCCAACCTGTGTGTATCACCCCCTGCCTGCAGTTCCACACGCTGCTACTGCTTCCCTCTCCCCTCAGATCTCAACGCCGATGTCCCCTCCTTTGGGATCCTTTTCTGACCTCTACCTTCCTACTAGATGTCCTCTGCTCGAGACTCCTAGCCTTTTGCGTTCACTGCATTTACGCCAAATATGGTTATTCGATTAATGTCTATCTCTCCCACACATCCATAGGCCCCATGAGGCCATGAACCACATCAGTTTCATTCACTGTTGTAGTCCCCGGCCTCAGCAAGTGCCTGGAGCATGGCAGAACCATGGAAGAGCATCCTCCTGCTGCCCTTGTCTTTGCATCACTGAAGAACACAGATTCAAACATCAAATCTACGTTCCAGGCCTTTGTGGACTAGGAGGGTGAGTGTGTTCTTGGCATGTGAGGTTGGGTCGTTTTCATCAACACCTCAAAGAGAGAAGGGTGTAGGAGAGACCAGATTGCATTTGTTGGATCCTACTGCTGTGCCCTGGCTTTGTCTGGCCACATCTGGAAAGGGGTATCTTCAACCTAAACATCTGGACAAGGAGATCTGGCAAAAAAAAAAAAAAACCTGGGAAAGCTCCCAGGAGGCAAGGCCCAGCCAGCTAGGTCCAGAGCTCAGACGGCCAGATCCTGAGATCTGTAGGGCAGCTTGTTTACAAAGCTTCCCCAATTCGCTGGGGACCAGCCCCAAGAGCCAAGGCACGCTAAGAAACGCGGCCTTTGTTTCTCATTGCTGGATAAGGCTCCTCTCTGGGTATTGGGTTATCTGTTTGTGCGTCACTGCTGTTAGCCAGATCCCTCCCCAGGGACCATCTTTCGGAGGCTGATGCACCCATTCCAGGGCTAGGCAGCTGTTATTCCTTCTTCTGGCCAGTTTTTCTCTGCAGCAGCTTCTACCTCTCTCTTATATCTCACCGGAAAATCTCACTCTATTCTCTTGGTACCACTACAAGTGTTTCTCACCTTTGAGCCTCATGAAGGTCCCATTTCACAGATGAGGGTGCTGAGCCTCAGGGAGCTAATTCAGCTTGCCCAGCCCATGCAGCTGCTGAGGAGCAAAGCCAGCATGAGAATCCATGTCTTCTGGCTCCCAATTCAGCATTGTTTTCCTTCCTAAGTCCCACTTCCTGCCTGTCTGAATACTCCTCCAGTCTTCTCCTCCTCAAAGCTCCTGGCCAGCACTCACTCCAGCCTGTGATCTGGCCCTGACCACTTGAGGAGGGGGTAGGAGCCTCTCCCCTGACGGTCTGAAAATAAGGCAGATTTTCATGGACCCCAAAGGAAACAGTGACCCAAGACCTGCTCCACTGGCCTCTTTCAGGCCCCTAACCAGAATTTCAGGGCAGTCTCTGAGGGTGAGATGGTTTTCCATGTGGTCTGGCTGCCAGTCCTGAACACCTCCAGTGCTGATTCTACCTGGGAACTCCCCCACTGAGCCTTGGCCAATGACCCTACTCATTTTTGTTGTTGTTGTTGTTATTTTGTTGTTTGTTTTTTGTTTTTTGGGGGTACCGGGGATGGAATTCGGGTCCTTGTGCTTGTGAGGCAGGTGAGAGAACCAATGAGCTAAATCCCCAGCTTGTTTTTGTTTTTGAGACAGGGTCTCACTGTGTAGTGCAGACTGCCCTGGAACTCACAGTGTAGCCCAGGCTGGTCTTGATCTCACAGCGATCCTCCTGCCTCAGCCTTCCAAGTGCTGGGATTACAGGTGTGCACCGCCAAGCCTGGCTTGACCCTACTCTCTTTGTATTAACCAAGGGCAGAATCCAAATGCTTCAAATGAACAGATCTCGGAGGGCATGGAGCCCATTTGCCAAATGAGAACATTCAGAGTTGGGAAGGGATCTCCCGCAGGCCAAATGAGAAGAGAATCCGGATGTAGAGCTGCAGCTACTGCCTTTTCTATTGCCAGTGCTCTCGCCAACGCACCCCAAACATTCTTGATTCCATCATTCGTATCTCATAGCCAGTACTTTTGGTTTCAGAGAGTCCCTCTACATCCATTTGTCCCATTCATTGTATATGGGCCAGTAAGGTATTATTTGGGCCATTTCATTTTTAGGAAAAATAATCTTTTTTTTTTTCTTTTTCAGTACTAGGGATCGAACTTGGGACCTTGCACTTGCAAGGCAGGCGGCAGAACCAGTGAGCTAAATCCCTGGCAATAATCATTTTATAGGTAGGGTGACAAATACAAAGAGTTAAGAATGTTCCCAGTAAGTCCAGTCTTCAGATTTCTAGGCGTTTCATTAGACCCTGCTGCTCAGACCAGCTTGAATGTCCCTCCGACCACTCCTGAGAAAGCAGCACATGGAAATTCCCCTGGACCAACAGAAGGAGATCTATGCTTTATGTACAAATGACATCAAAATCTCACCCTGGGAGGCAGGTATTTATATTTCCATTTTGTAGGAAAGGAAACCGAGGCCCAGAAAGAGGTATAAAGTTGCTCGCACAAATTGGAGAGAGCCAAACTTGCATCTGACTTCAAAGGCCAACATGTGCCTTAAAGCATGTGGTAAACACCCAGACCCTGCCCCGGAATCTGGCATGTGACCAGCGCTCTTTAGGGTTAGGGTTAGGATTAAGGTTAGGGTTAGGGTTAGGGTTTGCAGACAGTTAAAGGAGAAGCTGTACGCTATTTGGACCCAACATGTATCAGAGCCCAGATTCAGACAGGAGCTCTGTGGGTGATTCTCACAGATGGGGCAAGATGCTAGCACCAAACAGATGTCCGCAGTGGCAACGGAACACGGCCTGCTCTTGCTCTCATGTCTCTGAGTGTGGGGCATTTGTGCCCTGCCTCTGACCCGGAGGTGGCTGGCTGCCCCAGCCCTGCGGCCCCTGTCACTGTTTATGTGGCTTTCTTTGTGCATAAAGCTCTTCTTCCCTGGGAGTTCCCTGAGGGCAGAGGCCTAGCAGGATACATCTGGGCCCTGATGCCATCTCAGGGTCTGGGCCACAGCAGGCACGGTTCCGCAGCCCCTGAATTGAAGCATTTATGTCTGCCGGGGGGAGGGCCCTTTGGGGAGTGCTACAAAGAGGCATCTATAAGTCAGCCTCTGCCAGATGTCCAACTGCTTTCCCTCCTCTGAGGGGTGTGCTCTTCTATGAACAGTCTCTAAAAATGTGCTCTGGCTTAAAACAGCAAAATGCTGTAGAGGAAAAAACTGTCCACTGACCCTTTATGTCTTACCCCTAATGGTGACACCTTCAAGAAACCCTCACTACCGTATATGGTTGTGAGTGGCCTCTTCCCATGCAGGTGCCCTCACAGCCTGGTCTGGCTCTCTTTCTAGTCTATCCAGTCTTTGTGTGACCTGGCAGTCACTGCCCAGGTTGCAAACCCACAGAGGACAAAAGTCAGCTCAGCGGGGTGTGGTGGCGCATGCCTGTAATCCCAGCACTCGGGAGGCTGAGGCAAGAGATTTGCTGTGAGTTCGAGACCAGCCTGGGCTCCATAGTGAGTTCCAGATTAGTCTCAACTACATAGTGAGACCCTGTCTCAAACAACAAAAAACAAAACAAAACAAAACAAAAAATTCAGCTCTGATCAGCTTTGTCCTCTGGCATTGATTTTGTGCCTTTGATACATGAGGACCAGATGACATTGAATTTGAGGGCCTCTACACCACCATGTGGTGCTGGGTCCTTCCCCTGCTAGTAGACGTAGGCTCAGAGACTTCTTTCTCTAAATAGCAGATTCTGCTAAACAATTTTAAAAAGGTTTATCTGGTCATAGGACATTATACTATACACCTAAAACCTAATGTCCAAGGTGTAAAAGGAATGTGTGTTGCCCGACTCCCTATCACAAGCTACAAATAATTGGTAGTCAGTGACATTTTACTTTGAATTTATTCATTTATGGTGCTGGGGATCAAAACCAGAGCCCTGTGCATGCCTTGCACATGCTTGGGAAACACTCTACCACTGAGCTATATCCCCACCAAGATTTGTGATTGAGCCAGGATCACCTGATTTCAGAAAACTGGAGACCACTGAAATCATAAAGTGCCCTAAGAATGAACTAAATCCCCTGCCAGTTCTGTTCTGGAGAGCTAGATTTGAATGAGCAAGAGAGGCGAGGAAACTCTCCCCTTCCCACACCCCTCCTCTTACATTTTACTCATAAGAGGAGAGACTCAGAAAAACCGGTGGCTCAAGGCTACACAGTGGTGGAGTGCTTGGCTAGTATGTGTGAGGCCTTGGGGTTCGTACCCAGCAGCAGAAAGGAGAAGGAGGAAGAAGAGAAGAAAAGGAAAGAAGGAGAGAAAGGTGGCTATGTGGGGACTTGGTGGCAGAGGGGGAGCTGGAACCCATTCCTGCAGAATCCAGTCAGTCCCTGCCACTCTTAAAGCATTTGCTGAGCCCTTGAGTCAGTTATATTCCTTACACCCATTTTGCAGATGAGGAAACTGAAGCTTAGCGTTCACAGACCCGGCAGGAGGAGGCGGGTGGTAGAAGTGTACTAGCTCAGTTTATTCTACAGGTCTGAAGGCAAGAACTGAAGGACCACTGGCAGCAAAGTTGTTTTGGAAGTCAGATCTCTGGAATTGGAGTCCAGGCCTTACAAGTCAGACAGTGTTGACCTCATTACCCAAACCCAACTTCCAAAGTCCAATTTGCTCAAAAGAGGAGAGATTTCCCTTCCTGTGTTTTGTGGACTACATGAAGACTGCACCTGAACTAGGGTGAAATAGGGAAAGTGTGGCTTTTCTGCACCGTGAGCAGATTCTGGGCAGGGAGTGTGGCACCAACAACCTATGGAGGTTCGCTAAAGTCTTCAGGAAAATGCGCCAGTGGTGGTGTGTGTGTGTGTGTTTGTGTGTGTGTGTGTGTGTGAGGGGCGTGAACAGACCATCCCCACCTGGCAGTCAGACCCCAGAGCTGAACTCTACCTCCATCTCAACATCCGGAACACGGAACAGCCGAGCGCATCCAGGGATTGCCCGCGCTTGTGCAACACCACACGCTGCACACGCCCGCGCACATCCACTGACACCTGCCAGCTGTGCAGCACCTGTCCCATTCACAGGCCAAACCCAGGGGACAGCTCCTGCTCGGGAACTGGTCGTGGCGCCCCCCACCCTGGCCTTACCTCAGGTCGCCTTCGCTGCCCAAGTCGATGGCTCCGTCGGACTCACCGTCCGAGCTACTCTGCTCCCTGGGCCGCTTCATGGAGAGCGCAGGCTGCCAAGTTCTCGGCCGCCGCGCCGCCGGGTGCTCGGCTCTGAGTCTGCCCTCCGCG